CTGGAAGAGGAGTAAGGGCTTCTCCTCGTAACTCAGACATCGTTCTTGCTTGCCATAACAGATGAATAGGACATAGTTCTTGTAGTGCTCGTTGATCTTGTATTTCTTGAGTGCAGCTGGGAGGACTTTGTAGCATGGATCCTCGAGCGTGACTCTGAAGCTTTTGTAGGGATTCGAGCTGTCTTCCTTCTCCTTGGTATGACGACTGGTTGCGGTGATGATCTGCTTCTCGCCCCTCATGATGTGTTCGCACGGCTTGGACGTCGCTGAGATCTTCAAGACTTCTTTTGTGGGCGAGTCGCTAGGCTGTGATGGGTGGGTTTGTGGGATTTCTTGGGTTGGGTTGGTCGTGGGTGAAGGAGCGGGAGATGGGGGGTTGAGAGAATTTTGTGGTATCTTCTTGTGAAGGTATGATAGCTGGAGAACAAACCATTTTTTTTTTGTTTCGAATTATTATCAAATGTTCCTCCGGAGAACAAAGAAAGATGAGACGTACGATTGGTATGGGAGGGGGCGGGGGGAGATAGGGGAGGGGTCATGGATATCAAGTTGGCAGATCGATTCTTCTCTCATGTGCCTGTCTTGAGCCCCTCGTAGAGGAAGAGCGAGGGACGGGGTCGACGAGGAGAGAGGGGGAGTTGGGGGTAGAGGAGGCGAGTGAGAGGAATCGGGCCGAGAGAGACTGTAGTTCTTGTTTGATGGAGCGGACGTCAGCTTCGAGGGTGTTGATGCGTTGGTCGCGTAGTAGGATGAGTTGGTTGATTGAGTCTGGTGGCTTGACAGCTACCGGTTGTGGTTGTTGCTGTGGTTGTGGTTGTGGTTGTTGTGATGGTGGGGGTGGAGGGGGGTTAGGTGGGGTGGTGAGGATGGGGGATGGGTCTGAGTGTGCAGTGTCTGGTGGTTCTGATTGGTCGTGTTCTAGGTCGCCTAGTGGAGGTGTCCAATGGCCATCCTCGATCGGGATATCTTCCTTTAGCTTGAGTTTGTAGATCGCCTTGAGGATCGTCAGTCGTTTTCCGACTGATTGGATTCCGATGTCCTTGAGTAGTTCGTTGTCGAGATGGATGAGGACATCGCCAGTGAGAGCATGTTCTATGCTTGGAAGTGGTTAGTTATTTTTTTCTGTTGATGTTCTGAGTGAGTGAGTGAGTCGTCTTACCCTTGATTGCTGTTTCGTATCGGTTGAGTCCTAGTGAGATGAAGAACTGGTTGACTTGTGTTTCGTTCCAGTCGAGTACTGACATCGTGGTTCTTGGTGGGTTTTTTGGTTTTGGTTGGTAGCACAGCACTCTTCAAGTCCTCCTCCTTTTAATATTTTAATTTTTTTAATTTTTTTTTAATTTTTTGATGATGTGCGTTTCCATGGCTGATGCATCCACACCGAGTATATGTACTCCCCCTCTTATGATCGCGTGGGTGGTAGACCCTGTTGGGAGATATTCCGCCACTCTCCCATCTTCCCCATCATACATCCAAAAACCTCCGGCGACACTGACAGACAACTCACCACCAAGTACCGCTCATCCCACACAGACCGCGCCCAGCTGGATCCTCACGATCAGCATCTCAATAATGGATCTGAGCGGACATCCTCTACGCCAATCACTGAATCTAACCTCATCATCAGATACATATTTACGCCCAAACAAAAAGGTTTACCAAAACAAGTTATACACAGACGGATGACCAGCGGTCGAACCATCTGCAGCCTTGACACTCGGCAGGAAGTAACATAAGCAGGTTTACGAACATTAACACATCCCGAAGTAGGCTAGGAGCAATCCTGAAAGCGTACATAAGACAGCTCTACCCGGTCGCCGGGTGGGATCCCTGCTTGCAGACGGCCAGCTTGATATTCCTGATCGCCCAACATGAGGAGGATTGATCCCTCTTGATCAGAGGTATGTATGTATCAACGCTCATGGGCAAGTATTTCGTCTTGCTTGTTGCAAGTAAATAGATACATGCCCCCATCGTCGGGCAAGAAACTTTCTTACACATAGAGGGCGCCGCATCATTATTGCATTTGACTCACTAGGGATTCTACTCTGCGTGGTCAGTGGCTTTGGAGTTGATCACCGGGATTTGGATGTGCATCGTCCCAATGGTGTCCTTTTTTGCAAGGGAGTCAGTCGTCTCATCACTCTTGTCTCCAACTTCCTTCAATTACCGTTCTCGAACCCAATTAATCCCAGGCAGCCGTCTCCATGGCAATAAGCAGACCCCCCCCCCCAACAAAAAAAAACCCTATCCCCAGGACAACTGTTATTTTTCAGTTGGTGTTCAACCTTCTTCAACCAACTCCAAGTTGCCCACTTGCAATACTGATAATAAAAAGATGTGCAAGCCATTTTCAAGTTGGTTGATGTGGAGTACACATCAGTGCCATCTGCATTTGAAAAATCAGTCCTCAGGTCTTGCTGTGGTCGATCAAGTTCTTGATCACTGGCTCAAGCAGAAGCAAGCAACGCTTCTTTGAGAATGTCGATCATGGAGTATCCTGCACGTCATGAACTGGTGGCTATCAAGTGACTTTTTCTTGTAATTTTTGAAAGACAAAGATATCAAGTGATTTGTTTTTTGTTTTTCAAAGTTCTGGAACCCATGGGCCATATAGCCAAGCCCATAAATATAAAAAAAAAGGAAATATATTATGCTCAGAAAGGAGCCCATAAATAAAAAAAAAGGAAATATATCATGCGCAGAAAGGAGCCCATAAATCTCACATCAAATACGGAAATAACCAATCAATCAAATGAGGGGTTTTCGACCAAATGAAAAAAAAAATAGATATATATCAGAATGATGTGAAAAAGCCAGGAAAATTGTGAAACTTAGGAATGAGCATATATGAGATTGAGCTGGATTAGATGATTACAAATCTCTCAACATATGAATCACTAGATGACATACAGAAACTGGTGAACTATCTATGAGAGCTATTTTGCATGCCTCTCAATCCAAGATGGAGAAGATTTGAGACGCTCAATATGAATCATTGCTAGTTCCAGCCGAGCTCTTCTAACATCCAGCTCGTGCTCAAGATGTTCCCCAATAGACGAATACCCTGTTTTGGGTGCCAACTTAAAAGCTGCAGTTGCCAGACGCTCAGACACATATCTCACAGCTAATTCTTTCTTCATCCGCAAGTATGTCTTGTTTTCTTGTTGTCTGCTCTTCCATCTTTTCATTAAATATCCAAATATCTCCCTGTAGAGCCCTTGGTCCCATAATGACAAGATATGATGGGCTGTTTCAGATTGGTAATAATAAGCATGCTTCAGGATCATCAATTCGCTTGATTCCACCCCAGGATATGAAATGCCTGCAAGCTTACATTTTACCTCTTGAGATAGCTTTGTATTCTTTTTCAAAGGGATGGTGATTGGCTCTGTAAATTATAATCCAAAAAATGAGAGTATCAACAATCAGTTTTCAAATTCCTATTAATTCATTCATAATTAATACCTCTAGGCCTCCCAAGAAAAATACCTTTTGGTGGTGCATCTTTACCAAAGTCTATAGATTTGAATTCCCCATTTGGAAGAAAAATAGATGATGGATGAGAATTTGGTTTCATTTTTGATATGAAAAGCAGTTTGAGCATTTTTCAGTAATCTGATTCTCAATTCTTGTGAGTTAATGAATAATGAATACCTCCAGGCCTTCCAATGAAAACTTCAGTTGATTCTTCTGAATCTTCACCATGATCTACATGATCTTCTAAGTATCATATCAAAAATATAAAACAGTATCAGAATTTAACTTTCACCTTGTTCTTCAAAAACATTTGGACTAACCTGATTGATCTGGAGCTGACAAAAAAAAGTTGTTTTGTCCAGTATCAAAAGTTGAAAATATTTGGAGTTCATTTCAGACTGATTTTAGAATTGAATTCTGGCAAGCCAACTCACAGCCTGATGAATCTATCCTGCTGGAGCCTGATTGTTTCTCCTTGCCCATAATTTTGTTATATTTTTCTTGATGAGTTTCAGCAGATGTGCCTTTGTATTAGAACATGTTTTGTCAAAGGGAAAGGAATGATGCACCTGTTAATATATTGGAGAATATTTCTGAAACATGAGAAGCACTTACCACTTTTTGGATGAGTATTGCCTGCTTCAAAAGACGGTGATTCAAGGTAAGTGATACTCTTTCAAGTTGAAAACAAAAGCAAAATTCCAAGACGCAAAGCAGAGATTGACCTTCTTGAACTTCATGGACTATGAGAATCAAAGCATTAGATCTATCAGTTCTGTTTTATTGTCTGATTCAATAGGAATTTAAGATAGCCACTAACTGATTTTTTCCTCAGGATAAACCCAGGCTGAATTTTCATCTGAAACTGATCTTGACACTGATTTTGAAATTGTTTATGACAATGGCTTATATTTCAGCACAGTTTTCCCTTATATGTTATTGATGATCCACTGAGATTCAACCTACCTTGTGTTTCCCCTACATATCAAATTCAACAAATTGTCAAGATAATAGTTGTTTTGATTACCAAAGAGATCGAGGGTTAAAAATTAGCACCACTTACCACTTGTTGCCTCAGGATCCACCAAGTCTAGATTCTTAGCTAGGTTTGATACACCTGGTTTTCATGGAAAATTATGATGGTTCAGGATTCTTATTTTTTTTATGAAAAAAATGCAATCAAATTCAGGGTATTAACCTTCTTGGAGCCTCCCTGTAGCATCCAAAAGATAACAGGGAAAATTGAATCAATTTTATGAATGAATAATATTGTTTCTAAAATAATAGACATACCACCAGCGGATTCCATGGGTGCTCTCCTTTTCAGCCAGTGGTTGTTAGAATTCCCATTGAATTCCAAAGGTTCTCTCTTTAGGAGAGGTTTGGAAAGTGAAACTGGATGTGCAGAGATGGTATTGTACTGAAGAAGCTCCAAAGCAAGTAGAATATTTGCAAGCAGCTTCATTATTGGGGATTCAAATTCTGATGTGTTTTTTCAATGTGGGATCAAAAAAAAAAAATTGAAAAAGGATACAAAGTAGAATTCTTTTATATGAAAATCAGAAGGATTATAATATAAAACAGGAGACAAACAAGACAAGAATCATCAACCTTCCTGGTGCAGAAATAAATCAATCCACAGACATTACAGCTCATACCACAACTTTCCAGAGGTCTCAGCAAATCATGAAACCTAAATGGATGTGTATGTTTTTGAGATCAGGAGGTACTTGAGTGTTTCATACATTACCTTGGTTCTTGTACAAGGTTCTGTATTCCTTCAATTTTATGGCATAATTTCTCTTGCTGAGACAATTTGTGCAGATGACATAGGTCTGTGTGTATGTTGGATCCCAGTGAAACCAGAACAGGGTCAGATTCCTTGAGGAGTGTCCCATTGAGTCACTTTATATATACTGCTTATTCTTTCAACTTAGGTTTGAGTTATATAATGTTTTAGAAATATATTGATTGGCCGGAAGTATTAACAACATTCTCAAACTTACTTCACTATCTCCCTGATCAATGGAATCATCCCAGCAGCTGGTTGCAATAGACTGCTTATCAGCTTGTGGGGTTCATGGGAAAATTCAGGAATAAGTTTTAACTCTCTGAGAGATTGAAAAAATGATTCTCCCAGTCTGTGTTTTCATCACCAATACACATAGTGTCAGAAATGGTGATGCCAAGACTAGAGATCCTCTAGCTACACCAGCTGATGGGCTGGTTTGGTTTAGAGGATGGAAATAGGAAATAACTGAGGGGCCCAGGTTCTGAGGTTTTTTACAGTGCCCTCAGGGATAAGAGCCTGGGTCTGATATCTAGAATGGTGTTAGCTATCAGTGGGGTCTCAAGTGTTGCGGGGAACTCAGGTAGTGGGACTGAAGGTTCACAGACCTAGTGACAAGGGAGCAATCACTAAAGATAAATGTAGTTTAGATTCAGTGAGGAGAGGAAATCAAGATGTGAGACTATGTGAGCTAAATACGACTAGGTAGAAGCATATACTCAGTACAAGCATTCCAACATCCCCCCTTGCTGAAAACTAGTGTTAAAAATAGAGATAAAAAATCTACTTGATGTGACTAGTAGCAAAAAAAATCTCAGTCAGGGAACAGAAAATTAAGGATTAACCAGGCCAGGGATCCACTGTGCAATAGGAGAAGGGAAACATCACAACAATGTTTGTACTCAGAAATCAATTGGACAGGAGGAATTAGCCATAAACTTGCACCAAAGTTGTGCTTGTTAAGAATTAAAAGTCGTCCGGAAATCGGACCCACTATCCCCACACCACATCAATCTCTTCATCAAAACTATCGTTATCATTTTCATCGTCTTCGGGACCGTAGTAGCCAAGCGGGGCTGCCGACGTCGCACCAGCACGAGCTTTGACCAAATTCGCTTGAGCGGTCGACGGTTTCTTCTTTGGTTTCGGGCATCCAGAGGAATGGTGACCCCGTTCACTGCAGTTGTGACAGCCGAATCGTTTGGCTTTTGCAGCTGAGACCGAAGCATCGGCTTCGTGTCCGAAATGGTCCGTCGGAGGTGTCGTGGAGAGCTCGTGTGCTTCAAGAGCTCCGATGGCATCATCGAGACTGACTTCCTTAGGGGAGTACATGAGATGATCACGAATCGTCTTCCACAATTCGCCGAGTCCTCGCAAGAGCCGGTCACATATTTGCTGATCGGCTGGGGCTATCTTGGCGGAATTCAAGTCGGATGCCGCCTTCCTAATCCTAGCGATCCATTTGGCTATCGGTGCGTTGGGGTCATGTCGAGCTGACCAGAAGTTGTCCTTGAGTTGAACACGACGAGCCCGAGTGTTCTTTTCATAGGCATCGACAATTGTTGAGAAAAGCTTTGAGGCTGGTTTGACATCGCTGTATCGAATCGAGAGATCGACAGAGAGAGTCATCTTTATTGTTGATCGAGCCAAGTCCAACAGAGCATCCCAGTCGGATGCAAAGTCCTCAGCATTGTAGCCTTTCTGATCCGGGGATCAACCAGTCATCTTGCCTTCTTTAGTATCCGAGGGGCGAAGGAGTGATTTATCAACAATATCGAGAACATTCATGATGGCAAGAACATCGAGTAAGCGAGATTGCCAAGCCGCAAACGTGACTGAGTTTCCGTCGAGAACCGGAACCAATGGTATAAGAGGTGAAGGGTTGTTAAGTGTCCTGATAGGCATTGTAGAACTCTCGTGTGTGGTTGAAACTGCTGAGTCGGTAGACAAAAAAATTTCAGGATTTAGAAGTTGGCGGAGAGGTAGTATTGGGAGCTGGAGCAACCAAGGGATCATAACCTGTTGCGGGGAACTCAGGTAGTGGGACTGAAGGTTCACAGACCTAGTGACAAGGGAGCAATCACTAAAGATAAATGTAGTTTAGATTCAGTGAGGAGAGGAAATCAAGATGTGAGACTATGTGAGCTAAATACAACTAGGTAGAAGCATATACTCAGTACAAGCATTCCAACATCAAGAACAGTTGAGGGTATTGGATACACACATCAAAGGATGGGGAGAGAATGCTCTTCAAGCAAGACTGTAATTACTGTGATACAGCATTTCTCCAATTTGAGGAAACAACAACAACAACTTCCTGCAAACAATTTCTAGCTTCTAAAGACCGTGCAGATTTATTGGAGCTCAGGAGTGGGGCAGTATAGGGCAGCCTGTTTATGGGTTTGAGATAATACAGAATGTTAGTTTGACAATGTAAAAATGAAAAGGATGTTCTGAAAAAGTGAAAGGGGATATTCAATGATTCCTGATGTCAGCCTGAGTGATGCCAAGAGCTGAAACTCTTCTAGCTAGATTAGGTCCATGGATAAATTCAGAGGTGTACACATGAAAAAGTGGGGAAAGTTTGGGTAATAAAAGAAATAGTAAATAAAACTTAATAGTTTGATTTACAGAGGGGCCTGAGCTACAGGGGTTTTTAAGGTGCCCTCTAATATCAGGTCCTACCGTCCTGGGTTACAGGGGTGGTACTGATGTTCTGGTCCTTTGTAATAAAGGAGTATGCCCAGCAATAGCCTACAACTGAAGATACAAAGAGATAACACTTACTGATACTTATCTCTAGGCCAAGGAATGCTTCAGGAGGGAGGAACTGTTCTTGAGCTGCTCATAAAGGGGGTTGAGAGGTGGTGGAAGAGTGCTGGGGAACAGGTGTTGGATGGGTGATGGAAATTCAGGTTGATAACAGCAGGAACTGGGCCAAAAGGCAGGTGGAAACTGGATGTTGGTGACGGTTTATGCTGGTAAGTACTGATGAAGATGGGGAATCAAAGTTCAGGGGGAAGAAGGGGCTCTTAAATACCCATTCTGGGCCTCTGGAGGCGAACTCAGGAGTCTCTCTAGTTGCTACAACTCTCCTACTAAGCCTATGGGAGCTTTTAATCATCTGTAGCACCTGTAGAGCTTGGTTACAGGTGTCAAGGAGATGATGTAAGGCTTGTAACCATGTTTACAGGGTGTTCTGACGAAACTTTAACACTCCTGTAGTCTATGTTAGCACTGCTTGATGCATGGGTTGATCCTCAAGAGAGTAATTGTCCCAATTGGGCCAAAAAGGGCCACAGATCATCCCAAACAATTTAATAATGTAGTTAAGGTTTCAATGATGTAAACCTTATTTGTAGATTTTTCCCAAACTGCATGAACCTTCATTACACATGTAGCCCCCTTACAACATGTAGTATGATGTAACTGGAGGGGTCTACAGTGTATTTTGGTCCAATACCACTCAAGGGTTACAAAGTAAGTGAAGGAGTAATAATTAAGGGGTACACTTGGTGAGCTACCCTAGGTTATTTTTCATGTAGATTCAGAATCTGCAACAATATTCTGATTTATACTTAAGGTTCAGAAGTTATTAGGAGATTTCTGGTTAAAAAATGATATTTTTATTATTTATTTAATTATTTAAATGTTTTCCTCATGAAATATTACAATATAAGTGTACTGTGTAATAATGTCTCTATTATAGTGTTTCCACTTATTTAAATAGTATATTTTATTATCTTAATTGTATGCACAGTGGGTAGACAGTGAAACGTGACTGCTTATTTTGGATTCCAGAGCTCCAAACCACAAATTTGAAATCATGAGACTTGGTCAGGTGGTGCATAATAGGTCCCAAAAAATGAATATGAAATAATAAAGGCAAAAAATAAAGTTTCAAAATTTGTGAAAAATAAAAAATAAAATTGATTTTTTTCAAAAGCTTTGATATTCATTTTGGGGGAGTGGGAGTGCTGAGAGAAAGAAAGAATGGAACATGGCAAGAATGATTATAAATGAAAAAATTGGAACCAAAAAAGGTTTGGCCAGGTTAGTGGTCCAGATTGGAGCCAAAACAGTAAATTCCAGTGCTTTGCTGCAATGTGGGCTGGTGAATGCCCACTCAACAGCTGTTTGAAGCCATCTGAAAACCAGTTTTTCCAGAATTTTTCATTTATAATCATTCTTATTTCCCAATCTTTCTTTCTCTCAGCACTCCCACTCCCCCAAAATGAATATCAAAGCTTTTGAAAAAAATCAATTTTATTTTGGGGCTTGGAAAAACGACTCCTAAAAATTAGTCGACGACTCCCGTTTTGGTTGGGAGGTCGTCGGACGGGAGTCGTTCTTCCAATTCCCCCCAAAAAAAGGGGAGTCGTCGTCCTAATTTCAATGGCGATTTTTTAATTTTTTTTATTAAAAAAATGGGAGTCGCCCGCCTAAAGGGCGGGAGTCGTCGTACCAATTTAGCCAAATATTTCTTATTTTTTTCATTAAAAAAATTGGGAGTCGTCCGCCTAAAGGGCGGGAGTCGGCGCCCCAATTCAATTACACCCATTTTTTCACTTAAATTTTTAGACCTCAATTTTCATTCTTTTTTCACATTTTAAACTTTTTTCCTATACTTTCAGACATTTATAAATTTATGGTAAAAATTATTTTGAATCAAAGTGAGAACTACATCTTGTATACTGCATTTGACACCGTTTTTTTGTTTAATTCTTTGCTTTTTCACTCAATTGTTTGCATTAATTTTTTCACCTTATTTTTTCTGCTTTTTTGAAATTTAAAAGTTGTTTCCTACATTTCAAAGTGTTCAGAATTTACTGGTAAGATTCAATTTCCATAAAACTCAACGGTTCATTCTGAATACTGTAATCAGCCTTAAAATTCAATTGATTTTTAAGAGCTTAATTTTCATGATTTTTTGACATTTTGAATCTGTTTCCTACACTTTCAGACATGTTTAGAATTATGGTATAAATCAATTTGCATCAAAATGAAAAATGTACCTTGAATAAAGCCTTGACATGTTTCTTTAGTTAATTCTTACACGCTTAATTATCCTTATTTTATGGAATTTTAAGTTCATTTCCTACATTTTGAAAGGTTTTCAAATTGTTGGCTGTATCCATTTTGCATTCAAATAAAATTTGTATACAGTACAAATTATGCAAGAAATGGTGTACACTCTTATATTAAGATTGAAGCTTTTCTTTTGAGGCAAAATGAATTCTACCATTAAATTCTAAACACTTTTAGATGTAGGAAATAGATTTAAAATTTCAAAAAATGATTAAAATTGAGCAAGTAACAATTAATTAAAAAAACATGAAAAAAACCTGTCCCACGCAGTATTCATTACAAATCTTTGGTTTTTATGCAAGAAGATTTTTACCATCATTTTAACCATTTCTCAAAGTGTGGGAAATAAATTTAAAAAGTGAAAAAAGAATGAAAATTAAGCTGTAAAAATTTAAGTGAAAAAAGTGTCTAATTTCAGTATTCAAAGTGAACCGTTGAGTTTTAAAAAATTTGGATTGCGCCATTAAATTCTGCATGTTTTGAAACCTAGGAAATAATCCCTTTTTTTTTAATAAAAAAAAATTAGATTAGTTGGATAAATTGGGGCGCCGACTCCCGCCCTTTAGGCGGACGACTCCCAATTTTTTTAATGAAAAAAAATAAGAAATATTTGGCTAAATTGGTACGACGACTCCCGCCCTTTAGGCGGGCGACTCCCATTTTTTTAATAAAAAAAAATTAAAAAATCGCCATTGAAATTAGGACGACGACTCCCCTTTTTTTTGGGGGAATTGGAAGAACGACTCCCGTCCGACGACCTCCCGACCAAAACGGGAGTCGTTGACTAATTTTTAGGAGTCGTTTTTCCAAGCCCCTTTATTTTTTATTTTTCACAAATTTTGAAACTTTATTTTTTGCTTTTATTATTTCATATTCATTTTTTGGGACCTATTATGCACCACCTGACCAAGTCTCATGATTTCAAATTTGTTGTTTGGAGCTCTGGAATCCAAAATAAGCAGCCACTTTTCACTGTCTACTGCAACACTGGGTCGCTACTTTACGCTGCATTATCCAGTGTATCTGAGTAGTGTAGTGCACCCCGCTTCTTGCAATGCTGGGCCAGCTATGCTAACCGTAGCGTTAGCGTGGCGTAGCGCAGCGGAAATGTGCTACTTTGTAGTGTAGCGTTAGCGGAAAATCCACCTTTCTGCGCTGACGCTACGTGCAAAGGGCACAAAAGTGCGTTAGCTGTTAGCGTAGCGTTGGCGCAGAAAGTTGGAATTGCGCTAACTCTACGCGCTCAGAGCACAAAAATGTGCCCACTACGCCGCGCTAAAGCACTTTTTAGCGGGTTTTTTGCCTTTTTTGCCACTAAAAGCGCTGTAGCAATGCGCTAACACTACCCAAAAACAAGCCGCCTGTTAGCGGGGCTACAGCGTAGCAGCGGTAGCAGCACGCTAACACTACAGAAAAAAGGGCCCGTTTTAGCGCCGCTACGCTGTGGAACTGCTCAGCTAATGAGTGAAGAGCTTGGAGGGGATATGTCAGCCTCTGGGTAACTAACCTGAGTATTTAATAGTAAAAAGGTTGTTACTATGAGTTGACTGAAGTTTT